GGGAATGCAATTTTAAGGTTGGAAATATGACTTCAACAGCCATAGCAAAGTATTCGTATGAACCTCAACGAGAGGATGAACTGCGATTGTGCAAAGGCGATGTGGTCACGGTACTAGAGAAAAGTTCCGACGGATGGTGGAAAGGCCAGGTAGAGCAGATATCCTTTCAGATCATTTGCCAGCTTTATGTATCTTATCTTGATGTAGGAAGCTACTGCAATGAAGATGATTCCTCGAAACAAGACTCATTTTCATGGACCACAGTGCTAAATCAGTTATATCACTTCCACCTTTGATACACGAATCATGACTATCTCATATCCTTGTTAGCTATCGTATGAAGGAATTCTTTTGATTCTGAATATCAGTTTAATCAGTTACAGTGTCACGGCGAAACCGGTTGGTTTCCGTCTAATTACATCGATGAATCTCCGCCGAATACGTTCTCTCCGGCAAAAATGCTTGCTGGAGGTGATATCGGCAATGGAATACAGAAGGTGTCTATATTTGCTCATCGAATACATTCACAATCAAACAAAAATCTGTGTTATCCTCGCAGATGTCTGTGATTAAATAGATAAATTAATATTTTTGTCTTCACATCGCAAAATGATCAATTCTGAGTGATTGTTTCGTATTTTTTAAACCTTAAAAATTCTTCATTCAAAAACGATCCAGTTGGCCCTGCTAACCACAGTCTCCAGTTGTTAATTCTGCTCTATGGATGCAATTTTCAGCCGAAAAATATTTCGATGATATCCTCACCGAAGCAAACGATCCTTGAAGTTGTAATAGCGTTGTATTCATTTGATGCACAGACAGCTGGCGAGTTATCTTTTCGCAAAGGTAATACTCAGCTTTGTGGTTTGAACGAATTATTTTATCATGTACACGAGCACCATGTTAGCGATACATATTGCAACGAAGCTGGACAGGAGATCTGAGCCGGTGACGCTGGAAATTTAAGTTGTTGTCATTCGTGATTCATGAATTACACTCGTGTTTGTTCGCATGAGAATGAAACAAGCAGAAATATTCAAGTGAATGGTTTACATGTGCAGAAAATTTTGTCTGAATGTTATCTAAATTTTCAAAACTGTTCACGTTTTTTGTATTGCACACGATCAACGTGGAAGTCTAAAATGCTATTGGAATGGTGAAAAAATTTCAGGTGAACGTTTAGAAATTATCGATCATCCGGCGCATGATCCAGAATGGTGGAAAGCCAGAAATTCGAAGGGATGCACCGGCCTTGTCCCTACCAATTATATTGAGGTGATGATTCTCATTGGAACCTCAAAAATGTTTTCAATCCATGACTCGAAATCCTCAACGATGCAAAAACATTTTCTCCGATGTAATGAAATCAGCATAGCGAAAATTAATGCAATTTCTTTCATTTTCTCATTTTTGCGCTTATGCTTTCTTCTGTTTGTTGGAACACTATGAGAGCGATTTCCTGTGCTGTGAATGCAGCCATTTGGAATTTAGAATTGAACAGAGATCTTCCTTCCAGGTTCTTGAAAGAAATCCGTCTGCAAACAAAGACAACTTTATCAGTTCGGCTGTCGTACAAGACAAACGTGCCCTCATAGCAACTGCCTCATCCAATGGATCCTTCCCTTCAGCTCCCTTGAAGACAAGGTATTTCGGTGTTATCCATGCTTGGTGGATATCATTTGATTTCTGGAATTTCATTTGAGACATTAAAAATTTAAAGATTTTGATTTTTTCGTTATTTCTTAAAAATTTTAAGGAAATTGTTCGGATAATATTTCGATTAGGTAATGGTCATGACCAGAACTTCATTCATTTGAATGAATATGTACTTCAAATATATCTGTTATCATGGTTATTTCTATTGCTATCATTAATTAGAATTACTAATAGGCACTAATCACATTGATGCGTCTCGTTGAGAAGTTTCTATCACATTAGACTGATCACGAATTGAAAGCATTTTATAAAATCGGAAAGCATCATCACCTTTACATTAAAGTTCCCCTCCAAGGACGCAACAAGCTGTTACCGCTGGGATGGGAGGAGGTGTCTATGTTGGTCAACCGTGGTATTATGGTCGATTGACACGGGACGAAAGTGATGCGCAGTTGAATGCTCGGGGTACTGATGGCGATTATTTGGTTCGTGATAGTGAAAGTAATGTGAGTTAATTAGATGCTTTCAATTTTTCATTTCATTCAGTTGTTCAATCAAGAGTTTTACTCATCGCGACATTAGTTACGTCTCTATGGGATCGCTGAATATCAATTCCGCGATTGCTTAGATTTTTGCTTTAACGCACTCAGTCGTATTGTAAAACATCCGAAACGGTACGTCTCTCTCTGAGATCAATCAGGCTCATTTATTCGGCGATCTTAGCCAAGACAATGTAACAACTCTCACACTTTCTGAAAATTAGAGCTCCGAAAATCCTAATTATTTGGTGATTATATCATTTGCTTTCTTTGATTAACTGATTCAATCTTGTCAAGTGATATGTCATCAAATATCGGCTTTGCGACTGTTCATTTCCAACTGCTATTTCAGCCTGGTGATTATTCGATATCGCTGAAAGGAACTGGTAGAAATAAGCATTTCTGGGTGCAGGTAGACAACGTCAATAAGACTTTCAAAATTGGTACACGAACATTCAATACGATGGATGAGTTGATTCAGCATTATATGAAGAGTCCTATCTATACTAATGATAAAACCAATGAGCGATTATTCTTAGTTCGACCTTTGCCGAGATGAGAAAACGAGCATCACGCGGTTGAGAGACTTCTTTGCAAATTCTATGAAGTTTTCGTTTGATGCATAGGCAACCAGTGCCGATCTAAGTAAGTATATTGAGTTAGTTGTTTTAATTCACCCTTGAGTTTACCTCAAAATTCGTTAGTGCTAACTAGGAAGCAGACTGGTTATCAGCTACAGTCACTGCTATCAATGTACTCTCATGTTCTCGAAAACACTGAATGAGGTCGATTAATTCTATTGTATTCCATGAAAAGCTTCCAAAAGATTTGTTTGAGGCGAATAAAACTGAACAGAATATAAACTGTCAGATTGACTTATACATTACATTCAATTCATTGCGATTATAGCTTTGTGAACTTGCGGATATTTCATGAAAACAGTAAAATGGTTGAAAATCT